CCTTTTTCTATCTATCTATCTATCTATCTATCTATCTATCTATCTATCTATCTATCTATCTATCTATCTATCTATCTATCTATCTATCTATCTATCTATCTATCTATCATATCTATCTATCGTATCTATTGTATCTATCTATCATCTATCTCATATCTATCTATCGTATCTATCGTATCTATCATATCTATCTATCTATCTATCTATCTTATCTGTGTCTGTGTCTGTGTCTATCTTTCTGTCTGTCTGTCTGTCTGTCTATCTATCTCATATCTATCTATCTATCTATCGTATCTATCTATCTATCTATCTATCTATCTATCATCTATCTCTATCTATGTATCTATCTATATCTGTGTCTGCGTCTATCTTTCTTTCTTTCTTTCTGTCTGTCTGTCTGTCTATCTATCTATCTATCTATCTATCTATCTATCTATCTATCTATCTATCTATCTATCTATCTATCTATCTATCTATCTATCTATCTATTGTATTTACCTACCTACTTACCTATCTACCTACCTACCTACCTACTTACCTATCCATCCATCCATCCATCCATCTCGTGGTGGGATTCAGCCAGTTTGCACCACTTCGGCAGAAACGGTAGCTAATTTTTTGTTGCCCAGGCCCAGAATGGACTTCCGGAAACGGCATCCACACAGAGAACCGGTTCTTCACCTATTTGAATCCCACCACTGCCTCTTTCCCACCTCCGTTGGGGCACAACTCACTTAAGAACTGTCTCACTTAGCAACGATTGTGGCCATAAGTCAAGGATTCTGTATCTTTGCAAGCTTTGGATGCCATAGGCAGGAATGGATGAGTCCCAAGCGCCCTTCTCTCTTTTGCGCTCCCATGTTTTGGGGTGGATAGGGTGGGTGGGGGGGTCTCTGGGGGCCCGGTCCGAACACTTACCCCTCTGAAGAAGAAGTAGGCGCCTCCCAACACGCTGAGGATCTCCCCGGTGACCCGGAAATACTCGCCGCTCGTGTGGCGAAAGGTAAATGGAGGCTGTGAACAGAGAGCAAGCAGAGACACACCGTGAAAATTCAAACCCATCAGGACCACCAAAAGGGAAAACTGGATCAGCTTGGGAATGAGCTCTGATGAATATTAATATTAATATTACTATTAATAATAATAATAATAACAACAACAAAACCATTGGAGTACCACTTGAACACCATCATCGGCATTGACAAATTCGCCATCAGTCAATTGCAAAAGGCGACCTTACTAGGAACTGCTTCCATCCTGCGACGAGATCTGTAATACCATAAAACATCCACATCTGCCTATCCCAGGTCCTTGGGAAGGACTCGATAGGTAGACAAAATGCCAAATCCAGTCTGAACATCTGGCTGACAGTGCGATTAATAATAATAATGATAATGATAATGATTGATAATGATAATGATAATGATAATAATAATATCCACATCTGCCTATTCTAGGTCCTTGGTGAGAACTCAATAGGTAGACAAAAATGCCAAATCTGGTCTGAACATCTGGCTGACTGTGCGATGATCCATAATAATAATAATAATAATAATAATAACAATAATAATAATAATAATAATAATAATAATAATGATGATGATGATGATGATGATGATGATGATGATGATGATGATGATGATGATGATGATGTTGGAAGGAACGTTGGAGGTCATCTAGTCCAACCCCCTGCTCAGGCAGGAACCCTACCCCATTTCAGACAAACGGCTGTCCAGTCTCTTCTTAAAAACTTCCAGTGTTGGAGCATTCACCGCTTCTGGAGGCAGGTTGTTCCACTGGTTAATTGTTCTCACTGTCAGGAAGTTTCTCCTTAGTTCTAGGTTGCTTCTCTCCTTGATTATTATTTGTTGTTATTTTCAAATTCAGATAGTCCTCGACTTACGACCACGACGGAGCCCCAAATTTTATGTTGCTAAGTGAGACATTTGTTAACTGAGTTTTGCCCCATTTTACGGCCTTTCTTGCCACAGCTGTTAAGCGAATCGCTGCAGTTGCTCAGTGAATCACAGGTGGTCCTCGGCTTATGACCATTCGTTTGGCAACCGTTCAAAGTTACGACATCGCAAAGGGTAACTTGTGGCCGTTTTTCACACTTACGACCATTGCCGCATCCCCGTGGTTATGTGATCATAAATTCAGAGGCTGGGCTCCTATTTATGACGGTCGCAGTGATCTGGGGCTCACATGTTCCCCTTTTGCAACCTGAATCTGGGAGGGGGGACGCCAGATTGACTTAACGACTGTGTGACTAACTTCACAACTGCGGGGACTCACTTAACAACCTGTAGCGAGAAAGATCGTAAAACAGATCAAAATTCACTTAGCCGACTAATTCTGCTTAGCAACGGAAGCTTTGGGCTCAATCGGGGTCGTCGTACATTGAGGACTTTACATGGTCATTAAACGAGTCCAGCTTCCTCCCCTTTGAATTCGCTTGTCGGGATCCGTCTGGGAAGGTCGCAAAGGGTGATCAGGTGTGACCCTGGGATGATGGAGGAACAACGGTGGGAAGAAAGGTGGTAAAATGGGACGAGACTCAGGTAACCCACTGTCTTGCTTAGCGACGGAAATGTCGGGCTCAAATATGGTCGTAAGTCGAGGACTTAAGAGAGAGAGAAAAAAATCAAACCCTGGAAGCTAAATGAGGGGTGGTCTCACCGTTCCTTCCTTCTTGGTGGGTCTGTAGTAGGCAGCGACGGTGAGGATCAGGATATGCACCGTGTAGGTGAAGAAGTTGAAGTAGAAGAGGTGCTTCACAAATCTGTCCCATTTATCCTGCAGGAGTTGGTTGAGGGGTTCAACCAGGAGCATCTCGTGGCGGTTCTAGGAAGGAAAGACCCCCGAGGATTTATTTTCTATTCATTTATCTATTTATTGGCATCGTGCCTTTATTCTTTTTTTTTTTTTTACAAATAATTCAAGGCGAACATAATTCGACACGCTTTTCTCCTCGTTTCCCCACCACAACACCCCTGTGAGGTGGGCTGGGCTAAAAGAGAGAGAGAGACAGAGAGAGACAGGCCCACACTCATCCAGCTGGCTTTTACACCTAAGGTGAGACTAGAATTCATTGTCTCCTGGTGATTGGTCCAAAGTCACCCGGCTTGGCTTTCGTAGTTAAGAGGGAATTAACACTCACCGTCACCGTGCCTAAAGGAGGACTAGAATTCCCTGTCTCCTGGTGATTGGCCCAAAGTCACCCAGCTGGCTTTCATGGCTAAGGCGGGACTAGAACTCACCGTCTCCTGGTGATTGGCCCAAAGTCACCCAGCCGGCTTTCATGCCTAAGGCGGGACTAGAACTCACCGTCTCCTGGTGATTGGCCCAACGCCACCCAGCCGGCTTTCATACCTAAGGCGGGACTAGAACTCACCGTCTCCTGGTGATTGGTCCAAAGTCATCCAATCGGCTTTCATGCCTAAGGCGGGACTAGAACTCACCGTCTCCTGGTGATTGGCCCAAAGTCACCCAGCTGGCT